TGTTATTGTACCCAAGAAAAATTCGAACGATATAAGACTTTGTGTTGATTTCAAAAAAACCATTAATAGGGCAATAGATAGCGAACATTGTGTTTTACCTTTACCATCAGATATATTTGCTAGTCTTAGTGGAGGAAATTATTTTTGTGTAATAGATTTGAAGGGAGCTTATCAGCAGCTGCAAATAAGCGAATCTTCCAAAGAGCTTTTTACTATCAATACTCATATTGGTCTTTTTAGGTATAACAGGTTAACATATGGAATAAGTTCAGCACCTGGTATCTTTCAATGTATAATGGATGCAATTTTATCCAATTTATCAAAGACTAAGTGTTACCTTGATGATATAATAATACATGGGTCTAATTTAGAAGAATGTCGTAAGAATGTAAGGAAAGTTTTAGAAAGGTTAAGGGAGTTTAATGTCAAAATAAATGAGCAAAAGTGTAAATTTTTTGAACAGTCTGTTGAATTTTTGGGTCATAAAATAGATAATCAAGGTATACATCCAACAAATGAGAAATTAGAGTGTATTCAAAAGGCACCTTCACCTCAAAACGTAACTCAACTAAAATCATATTTAGGAATTTTAAACTATTATGGAAAATTCATCCACATGATGTCCGCCAAACTTAAGCCATTGTATAATTTGTGTAAGAATAGCACAGAATTTCTTTGGACGGATGAGTGTGAACGAGTATTTCAAGAAAGTAAGACACTATTGTCTTCAGATGATGTTCTCACTCATTTTGATCCTACCAAGCCAATTTTTATCACTTGTGATTCCAGTGGATACGGAGTAGGAGCCGTGTTGAGTCATAAAATTGATGGAAAGGAGACGCCTGTTCTTTTCGCTTCAAGTACTCTAACTGATGTCGAACAAAGGTATTCAAATTTGGAACGCGAAAGCTTAGCCATAATCTTTAGTCTAAAAAAATTTCATAAATATATATTTGGCAGGAAATTTACTTTGATAACAGATCACCAACCATTACAATTTATATTTGGTAAAAATAAAAGTATTCCCGTTACAGCAGCAGCACGCATTACACGTTGGGCTATATCTTTATCTGCATACGATTATGATATTGTGTATAAAAAAGGGACTTCAATTTCAAATGCAGATGGTTTGTCAAGGTTACCTATGAAAACAAATACGGATATAACTGATGCTATTTTTTCATTCAACTTAACTTACGAAGTTCCACTAGATTCCACCCATATAGCGACAGCTACAAAAAAAGACATTATTTTATCGAAGGTTCTAGATTTTACTCTTTCTGGTTGGCCAAATTTCATAAACGATGTTAATTTGAAACCATATTTCAAAAGAAGATTAGAATTTTCTGTAGAAATTGGGTGTCTGTTAGCGGGAAATAAAGTGGTTATTCCAAAACAAATGCAGAAGGAGATTTTAAATTTGTTCCATGAACAGCATTTGGGTATTGTTAGGACAAAGATGCTCATGCGGTCTTATTGTTTTGTTGGTGGCCTGGAATGAATGAGGATATAGAATCATTTATAAGTTCATGTGCTGTCTGTCAGGAAACACAAAATTTTTCTAATAGCAGTACTCTTTTACCGTGGCCAAGTGCACCCAGTAACTTCTATAGAGTCAATATTGATTTCTTTTATAAACATAATTATATTTTTTTAATTTTAGTTGATAACAAATCTAAGTGGGTAGAAGTGAAATTAATGCAAGATGGCACTAATGCGAAAGAAACTATTTTAAAGTTAAAAGAAATTTTTTCAACTTTCGGGTTACCTAGAGAACTTGTATCAGATAATGGACCTCCTTTTTCATCAATTGAATTCAATGCTTTCTGTCAGGCAAATGGAATCAAATTTATAAGAAGTCCACCATATCACCCACAAAGTAACGGAATTGCCGAGAGATCAGTTCAAACTGTAAAGAAAGGTCTAGATAAATCCTTGTTTCTTGAAAAGGGGAGGAGTATTGATAAGAATACTATTTTAAATCGTTTAGAAAACTTTTTATTTGTGCATAGAAATACACCTTCCACTTCAACTGGATTGTCACCAGCTGAGAATTTATTCAAATTTCGACCTCGTACTCGGTATGACTTGATAAAGCCTTGTGCAAATCAACAAGCTAAACTTAGGTCTGACATTGCTAGAACACTCAAACTTTATTCTGAGAATGACATTGTATATGTTAAAAATGCTCATACTAAATTATGGCAAAAAGGTAAAATAGTTAGGTGTATGAGCTATTGTACTTATCTTGTGCAAGTTTCTGATAGTATTAAGCTTGTACATGCAAATGACATTCGTAACTGCAGTGCAATGTATCCGGAAGTGACCAATAACAGAAATAACGTTACTAGTATAAATGATAGACTGGATATACCAAATTCACCAAATGTGACTGTTCCCATTGTGTCAACAAATAATTCCACAGTATCTGGAAATGTATCTCAAACAGAAGTCGCGGAAGTACCAGTGTCCACAAACTATAACTCTGATCTAGGTCAACCTAGTAATAATCAGTCTAATGTCTATACTAGAGAATCAAATACAAAGTTTCAAAATTCTCCGAAAGCAGTTGTTGTCCCTGTTACTACTCCGACTTCTAGATCTAGATATGGTAGGTCAATTAAACTACCAGTTAAACTTAATTTGTAAGCTTTTTTAATTAAGGGAAGAATTGTAAGATATTGATCTTGATAAGGTTTGGCCAAACATAGATGTTTGCTTAACATAGAACTTTATTTAGGTACTTGAGTGCTCCTGTAATTTCATGCTACCTGCTACCTTTCATGTTTAGAGTTGTCATAGTTGATTGTCAGATTTTAGATTTTTTTAAATAAATTATCTCCATTTCTTATAGTTAAAAGTTATTAATAAATAGGTACATTACACGTCTGAACGTCTGAAGACCAAAAAAAGACGCCCTAGAATACGTTGTTTTGAAGATGTCCATATAAGATGTCGTAAATTCATATCTTAGACAACTTTTTGGTACAAACAAGCCTAAAAGTGAATAATGATTTATATATTGTCGTATTGAAAAGAGATTCAAAAACGTCTTTGAGACATCTCGTTGAAGTCTTTGAAATGCTTTAGTGCTAAAGACATCTTTAGGCAGTTCTCTGGAAGACGTTGAGTTTTGTTACATTACGACGTCTTTGAGACATCTTATTAGGGACGTCTTTAAGAAAAATTTCCCACAGAATTAGTTTCTAAGTTTCTCATTTAATTAAGAAGTTACTGGAAACCATTTAAAATGCTACAAAACACTTTAGAACTTTAAATAGGCCTTTTGGAAAGTTCAAAACATTTAAAATTAAATTCAGAATTTTCAAAAGCTTTCTGTAGCGCTTCAGAAAATTTTGGAAATTTCAAAACCATTTTAAAATCCCCCAAAACATTCAAACACCGATTTCCAAAAGCATTTTAGAACAACTCAGAAGTTTGAAACTTATTTTAGGACGCTCCAAATCACTCAAACTCAGACACTCTAGAATCCCCAGAAACATTCTGAAAAACGTGAGCACCAGAATCTCAAAATTCAGATTAAAAGTTACAAAACGCCTTTCAGAAGGCTTTTAAGAGCAAATTTAGATTGCTGTAGAACTTTAGAAGAACTCTTAAGAGCATTTTGGAGCAATCGAGGAATTTCAGAGTTATGTTAGAACAATTTCAAAGTTCTAAATTGAATCTTAATAGTAGAACTTTTTCGAACCAATTTAGAAATCTTTGTAGCTTCAATAGAGCTCTAAAATGCTCAAAAATCTGTCAGAACCATTTAGAAATTACTGAAAAACTTCTAGAATGCTCCAGAACTCTTCAAGCCAAGTATTAGAACACCTTAGAACTTCAAAATGTGATTTAGAACGTTCCAAAACACTTTCCAGCAGCATTTTGAAAGGCTTTTTTTTTTCAATTCGGACAAAAACAGTAAAAAGTTACTTTGGGCTAAGGCCCCATACTTACTGCCGCGTAGGGCCCGGTAGAGCCTTGAACCGGCGCTGTGTTACTGAGGAAAAGGAGACACAAGATCAGAATTCATCTATTCTACAAAACACCATGACTTTTAGAAGTTCTAAACGCAAAATTAAGCCAGTCCAGAAAATGAATTTATAATAAAGATATGGAGGGGCGACGTATATGCCTTCAGCTGGAGATTCTGGCGCTTTTCAAAGTGTTTGAGTTTTTTGGAACGTCTTGAAATTTGTTGCAAACTTCTGAATTGTTCTAAAATGCTTTCGGAAATTGTAAATATTTTGGAGCATTCTAAAATGGTTCTGAACATTCGAAATTGTTCTGGAAGCGCTACAGAATGCTTTTAGAAATTCTGAATTGAATTTCAAGTGTTTTGAACTTCCCAAAAGGCTTATTAGTATTCTAAAGTAGATAACTTCTAAATTGAATAAGAAACGAATTCTGTGGGAAATTTTTGTAAAAATCTTAAAGACGCCCCTCTATAGGATGTCCACAAACGATATTCAAGTTGTCTCAAAGTAAAGACATATTGAAGACGTCCTATATGTTACAAAATCCACGTCTTTCAAACGTCTGCCTAAAGACGTCTTGAGGACTAAGACATTCTAAAGACGTCTTCAACGAGATGTTTCAAAGACGACTTCGAATCTCTTTTTCCCTGGTTGTACCAAATTCAAGATGTAAGTTTACGACATCTTATGGACATGTTTAAAATAACGTCTTTTAAGACTGTGTGCTGTCTGGAATACAACTACCGCCCAAGGAAGTGTATAAGGAGACATTTCACATTTGTCGATAGAAAAAAGATGGATAGAGATATTTATCTTTCTAACTAATCTAATGGAATCTAAAACATTATGACTCATTATTATTATAGTTAGTAGGTATGACAAATTAAAAACTTTTTCGAATTCCAAGTAGAAATCGCATCCAATGTAAGTAAGAGGGGGTTTTTAGAGGTCAGAGGACATTTATTGTATGTTGCGAGGGTGTCTTTTTGTTCTTATTTCCTATGTAGAGCGCAGGCTCAAAGAGCGAAAAGAGACTCGCCCCAAGCACCTGTTAACTGCGCCGTCCCTAGCTTTTCAGCTTTGGGAGGTTCGAGCACTCATCGGCTCCTTTATTGTACAATAGCCGGCCGGTGCGACGACACGACCGACAAAAAATTCAGTCCTACTATAATCGAAATCCGTTGCGCTTATTAATTTTTTTAAACTTTTCAAACAATCATGTCCGAACAAGCTCAAGACTCGAACAACGGTCCGGTTGTAAACGGGGACCAAATCGGCGATAACAAAGAAAAAGAAGCGGTGACGGAAAATGGCACTAATAATGGCGAAACCGCGGAACCTGTTGCAGAAACCACCGAAAACGAGGTACCGAAAAAGGAGATGAGGGCCGTCGTATTGACCGGGTTCGGCGGTTTGAAATCGGTTAAGATTTTGAAAAAACCCGAACCGACCGTCAACGATGGGGAGGTTTTAATTCGGGTAAAAGCATGGTAAGAATTTATCCTAAATATTTCAGAAAAAATTTAATGCTAACATATGGTAAAGGGAGGGCCCTGCAAGGGCACGATCGATAAACCCTTATCTGTTTCAACCAATCTATTGTTTGGGATTTCGTGGCGCAGCAACTCTTTACACCCTATAAAATATATGGTTTGATAAATTTCTATTTAGTTTTAAATAACAAATAATTCTGATTTTCAGGAGAATAAAACAAACTTTTTTTTTACAATTTTTACCTTCTTTTAACTACTTCACTGTGACTCATTCAATAATTTAAAATCTTGAGAAATAATCATGAATGAATTCTGGAAATATAGGCCTCATTTTCTATATTTTTAAAGGGCCTTTACTATTATTATTTTCAGTGGCGTTCTGTTATAAAATTTGGATTTTATAACTTGATTATTGATATTTTCTACAAAATTGTCACAATTTATTATTGTGCAAAAGACTCACAAATAAAAACTTGTGTGTTCTCATCAAAAGATAACAATAATTTCTATTTATAATAATGCAAATAATTAAAGATAATATAATCTTGTAGGTACAAGAAACTTTTGCCCTTATTCACAATACATAAACCATTCTATTCTATATAGAATCATTGACGAGAAGTTCAATTTGTTTATTGTTAAAATGGAATACAAAACTGTGTACAAGGTCAAATTATTATTAATAAATATTCAGAAATGTTTATAATATGCTTGATAAGGCAGAGGACAAATATTTTTGCAAGGAAAAAATATGAATGGAATTTACCTACAATAAACAACACTCTTTTACGTTTCTTGAATTTATTAGTAGGCAAAATAGTTTTATTTATTTTTTGCCCATCCCTTTACATCGATAATCTATTAAATTTTACTAAGATTGCTGCGCCTTTAATTAAATATCTGATAACATAAAGCTCTTAAAAATAAATTCCATAATTTTAAGCCAGCCCAGTCAGTCAGAGACAGGAAGTACTTCATAACTTAAAACGTGACAAGGGTACTTTGGCAATAAAACTTTTATCAATTTATACGACTGAAGACTTTTCGGGTGGGCTTCTGTTTTCAGTTTATGAATGAACTTTGTTGACTTTTTGAAGCTTCTGGTTTTTGTATCAACTTCTTGTCCTCACTGATAAATCTTTATTATTATTATTAGCTGAAAATAATATTTATTGCTTTAAAAACGTAAATATTTTGTTTTATGTGAGGGCAATTTATTATTGGTCATTAATTCTTTATCAATTAATTAATTGGTTGCAACTATCTATGAGATTTCTGAGGAGCTTTTTTTTAAAAAAAAATGCCGAGGTTATCATCGTTAATTTGTTTGTGTGGGATTTTTGTATTTCAAATATTTTGAAGCTGATATAGTCTTGGAAAATTGTCGATTTTCAAAAAAAAAAATCCTACCCAAAAGAACTTTTCAGGGATGATAGGGGGAGGGTGGGTGATCATTAAACCGAAAATATTGAATATTCACCCCTCTGGCGTTTTGCGCTATAGGGGTTAATGAAAGTGCCCCATTGGCGATTACTTGGTATAGTCATATTCACGAGAGCGTTTGAATTTTGACCGTTATTTTCACCAGTTGAAAATAAATAAAATCCCCAGATCTGTCCCTTTTTCTGACAACTATCAAATAATGATACATGACATTTTGATTTGACACATAAAAATAACAGATTCGGGTCTTTGAATTTTGAATTTCGAATTTTTGTGTGAAATCTTTCAGTTTTTTGCTGTTTTCTGCATTATTTTTTTAATTGTTGTGTTATCGCAATCGGTTTTTTGGTTTTTTATGTAGTGTTCTGTGCCTTTGGGTTTCGGTGTTGCGTTTCAAACTTGGTTTTAGAATAGATTTAAGTGTTTACTCTTATTATAAGTGTTTACTTTGGACTCTTATTTTAGGATTTTTGGATTTTAATAACTTAACTTCCTTTAAAGAAATTGAAAATAAATTTTTATTCTGAAATGTATATCACTTTTCTAAATACGACCCTGTCGTTTATCCCAGCTGACGAAATCGAAGCGCTAACGCATGCTGACAACCTAAAGAAAAAGTTTACTAAAAATGTCAATGCGAACTGTCAACTTCACTTTCTATCGTGATTTAGTCTATACCTATTGATTTTACAAAAAAATGTTTCAAATAAAAGATGTGCAACATTATTTGATCTACAATGTTTATCTAAAGACTTTTTTGATTAAGGGCCGCCTGTGGTCATAAGGGACGTTTGAAATTTTATAATGAAAATAAAAAATTTTAACCAACGTGAAAAATATTTCTACAACTCATATAACATTTTTGCTTTATGAAGTTTTTACTCACCCTTTGCCGTTTTTCAATAGGGGTAGTTTAAAGTTTTTTTATTTTTTTACAAAAAAAATTTCTTAATAAAAGTTTTATAAGATGACATTTCCTACAATTTTTCCTAATCAACTTTTTTTGTAACTCACCCCCATTCAGCGGGGGGACACTTCCCTCGGGGAAATTTTAGTTTTTAGAGTATATATTTTTTTTTTCTTTTCTCGCCTTTAGTGCATATAAAAAATTGCAATTAACATTGTATTGAAAGAATTTTTTTTTCACCACCTTTTTGTTTTTAGGGGTAGTTCCCCTATTTTCAACTTTACAAAAAAAAATTATTAAAAAAACTTGTTCATTTTATTATTTTGAGCAACTTTTCTCTATAACTTTTTTTTGTAAAGTTGAAAATAGGCGAACTACCCCTAAAAACAAAAAGGTGGTGGAAAAAAAATCCTTTTAATACAATGTTAATTGCACCTTTTTATATGCACTAAAGGCGAAAAAAGAAAAAAAAATTAATATGTACCCCTAAAAACTAAAATTTCTCTAAGGAAAGAGTCCTCCCGCTGAATGGGGGTAAGTTACAAAAAAAGTTGATTAAGAAAAATTGTAGAAAATATAAGTAATCTTATATAACTTTTATAAGGAAATTTTTTTTGTGAAAAAATAAATAAACTTTAAACTACCCCTATTGAAAAACGGCAGGGGGTGAATAAAAACTTCATAAAGCAAAAATGTTGTAAGTATGTGTTGTAGAAAAATTTTTCACATTGGTTAAAATTTTTCATTTTCATTATAAAATTTCAAAAGGCCCTTATGACCACAGACGGCCCTTAATCAAAAAAGTCTTTAGATAAACATTGTAGATCAAATAATGTTGCACATCTTTTATTTGAAACATTTTTTTGTAAAATCAATAGGTACCAAGTAATCGCCAATGGCGCACTTTCAACCCCTATAGCGCAAAACGCCAGAGGGGTGAATATTCAATATTTTCGGTTTTATGATCACCCACCCTCCCCCTATCATCCCTGAAAAGTTCTTTTGAGTAGGATTTTTTTTTTTGTATTGAAATTTATTTTATTTTTTGTATATTATTATGTATTGTTAATAAGATCTTTTAACTTTCCCCTACTTGCCCGACAAGTTTTGAAGTTTTTTCCTTCGTTAGTTTTTGCAATAGGGATTCGATTATTCCAGATTTTCTTAGGTTTTTTGGTTTTTCACTGTGTGTAAATACATGAAATTTTAGTATGATGAGCTCTTTATAACTTTCTACTTTCTGCATTAAAAGTTCCAAAACTTTTCTCTCACCAGTTTTCCAAAAAACACCAAAATTAGAGAAGTTGCATTTTCTTTTTAAAAGTTGTTAATCAAGAATTTCTTAAGTTGTGGTTTTTCACTTGAAACATATGAAATTTCTTTATCATGAGCTCCTGACTATTTCCTCTTCTCATCTTAATAGTTTCAAAATTTTTCGCTCATCAGTTTTTCAGGAAAATATTGAAATGTGAAAGGCTGCATTTTCTTTAATTATTGATTTTCAGTTGATTTTCCAGAACTTCTCATGTTGTGGTTTTTCATTGGAAAAATATAAAATTTGAAAATAATGAGCCCCTAACTTTCTGCTTTTAACCCTGAAAATTTCAACAATTTCTATTTACCCGTTTTCCAGAAAAACATGAAAATGTAACAGGTTGTATTTTCCTTAATTTAGTTTTTGGGAGTTGATTTTCAAGAATTTCTCATATGGTGGTTTTTTAATTGAAATATGAAATTTCATTATTATGAGCTCATCCTAACTTCCCTCTTTTCCTCCTAAAAGTTTCAGAATTTTCCGCTTATCAGTTTTCAGAGAAATATTGAAATGTGAGAAGCTGCATTTTATATAATTATTAATTTTTAAAAGTCAATTTTCCAGAATTTCTCATATTGTGGTTTTTTATTGGGAAAATATGAAATTTGAATATGATGAGCTCCTAACTTTCCTCTTTTTATCCTGAAAGTTTCAAAATTTTCTGCTTACTATTTTTCCAGAAAAACATCAAAATGTCACAGGATGCATTTTCTTTAATTTAGTCTTTGGGACGATTTCCAAGAATTTCTCATGGTGTGGTTTTTCACTTGAAATATATGAAATTTCATTATCATGAGAACTTTCCTCTTTTTATCATAAAAGTTTCGAAATTTTTAAGGTCCACTCATAAGTTCCGCAATAATTTACTTATTTGTACTTGAACAATAACTTATTATATAAAGTCAAAATTTGTAAGATTATCCCACTTTTGTCAATTTGCCTTTCAACAGGAATTAGTAATGTTACTTTACCAAACTAGTAATATATTGTGACAAGTTATTCAAGTACAAACGAGTGGATTGTTGCGGCACTTATGGGTGGACCTCTGCGGGACGAGCGCAGCGAGTTCCGCAGCCATCTATTCATCAATATGTTATTCAAGTACGATACTAACCTGACTCACTCAAACGTTAGTTATTCTCATTAGTTTAAAAACTATACGTTTCAGGTGAATGTCTTACTTGAACAGTTCAACAGTATATTGGTAAGTAGTTGGCTGCGGAACTCGCTGCGCTCGTCCCGCAGAGGTCCACCCATAGGTTCCGCGATAATCTACTTATTTGTACTTGAACAATAACTTACTATATAAAGTCAGAATTTGTAAGATTATCCACCTTTTGTCAATTTGCCTTTCAACAGGAATTAGTAATGTTACTTTACCAAACTAGTAATATATTGTGACAAGTTATTCAAGTACAAACGAGTGGATTGTTGCGGCACTTATGGGTGGACCTCTGCGGGACGAGCGCAGCGAGTTCCGCAGCCATCTATTCATCAATATGTTATTCAAGTACGATACTAACCTGACTCACTCAAACGTTAGTTATTCTCATTAGTTTAAAAACTATACGTTTCAGGTGAATGTCTTACTTGAATAGTTCAACAGTATATTGGTAAGTAGTTGGCTACGGAACTCGCTGCGCTCGTCCCGCAGAGGACCACCCATAGGTTCCGCGATAATCCACTTATTTGTACTTGAACAATAACTTACTATATAAAGTCAGAATTTGTAAGATTATCCACCTTTTGTCAATTTGCCTTTCAACAGGAATTAGTAATGTTACTTTACCAAACTAGTAATATATTATGACAAGTTATTCAAGTACAAACGAGTGGATTGTTGCGGCACTTATGGGTGGACCTCTGCGGGACGAGCGCAGCGAGTTCCGCAGCCATCTATTCATCAATATGTTATTCAAGTACGATACTAACCTGACTCACTCAAACGTTAGTTATTCTCATTAGTTTAAAAACTATACGTTTCAGGTGAATGTCTTACTTGAACAGTTCAACAGTATATTGGTAAGTAGTTGGCTGCGGAACTCGCTGCGCTAGTCCCGCAGAGGTCCCACCCATAGGTTCCGCGATAATCCACTTATTTGTACTTGAACAATAACTTACTATATAAAGTCAGAATTTGTAAGCTTGTCCACTTTTTGTCAATTTGCCTTTCAAATGGAATTAGTAATATTACTTTACCAAACTAGTAATATGATGTGACAAGTTATTCAAGTACAAACGAGTGGATTGTTGCGGAACTTATGGGTGGACTCAGCTATCTATTCACCAATATGTTGTTCAAGTACAATACTTACCTGATTCACTCAGTTGTGAATTTTTCTCATTTATAGTTCAAAAACTACACGTTTCAGGTGAGTGTCTTATTTGAACATTTCAACAGTATATAAGTAAGTAGATGACTGCGGAACTCGCTACGCTCGTCCCGCAGAGGTCCACCCATAAGTTCCGCAATAATCCACTTATTTGTAATGCTTCCAGCTTGGCTTCCAGTTTTTTTTCAAATGGGATGCCCTATATTTCATTCTATATTCTTGAAGAGCACAATGTTCCGATCTATATTTGATTGAGCAATCTCTCATATATTCGGCTCCAAAAATTGTGAAAATACTATCCTATTACTGATTTTGTGAACCATTCTACTTGTATAGGTGAAAACTATAGGTAAAATTTGAGGTAGGTACTTGGTTTCTCTGATAGTATTTTTAAAATTTTTAGAACCAAATATGTTGGAGACGGCTAAACCAGATACAGACAAACTATATAGTTTTGAAATCGGGAAATTGTGCTCTTCAAGAATATAGAACCAAATATTGCGCATCCCATTTGAAAAAAAGCTGAAAGCATGCAAAATTTCACATTTCTGACATTCAATTTTTGTTTCTGACCACGGATTCTAAAAATTTAGCCATTACTGTACAACTTTTGTATTTACACCTTTCATTTACCGGTAAAGGTAAAGGTGGAGTGTCAATATATAAAAAAACACCCTGTAGATATATACAGGGTGTACCATTTAAAACGAAACAGGCTAAATATCTGATGCCACGTTTATTTTTTTTAAATAGCTTCAATACGTAATTTAATTTTCAAAAGGGGAAGTTTTTTGTAATCATTTTCATTTTCAAAATTTTGAAACAGGTATCACTTGAACCCCTGTTCCATTAAATGGTATACCCTGTATACATATATGTATTCGGATTATTCGAGTACATATTCAGTTATCCGAGGTGGGTACCCCCCCATGTTACCTCAGATAACCCGGGGTTCTACTGTATATGAAATTTCATTATCATGAGCTTTTAACTTTTTTCTTTTCATCCTAAAAGTTTCGAAATTTTCCGCTTACCAGTTTTCCAGAAAAATATTGAAATGTGACAGGCTGCATTTTCTTTAATTAGTAGTTTGACAAATTTCTAGATAACGTCTTAAGTGTTCGAGATAGAGTAGAAATAATGGGTTTAGGACTTTGGAAATAAAACTCCCTTTTTCAAAAATTATGTCGAAGTTTCGACCATATATATTTTACCAGCAAGGGGGTTTGACGTGAAAAATCATTGTAAAAAACCCATTATCTCCTACTCTATCTAAATGAGTAGCTTTCAGGAATTAATTTTCCAGCATTTCTCATGTTGTGGTTTTTCACTGAAAAACTTTGAAATTTGAGTATGATGAGCTCTTAATTTTCTTCTTTTCACCCCCCAACATTTTCCACTTACATGTTTTCCAAGAAAATATCAAAATGTAAGAAGGTGTATTTCCCAAAGGCATTTCCTTAAAAATTTAGTTTTTCAAAGATGATTTTTGAAAATATCTACTGCAAAAATATAACACAAAGCCACAAAGCGAAATTTTTTTATACTAAACTGAAACATACCGTCAAGAATAAAAATAAAGAAAACTCAAGCGCCTCTGGAATAAACAAATAAAGAAAATTCAAGAATCTGGCATGAAAAATTATGAGAACTTAGGAATTTCATAAGTAGAAATGAAAAATAAAGAATTAGGTAAATTCAAGAGCCTGGAATAAACAAATAAATTAAACTCAAAAATCTGGCATAAGCAAATTAGAAAAATTATTAATAGAAAATAAAGAAATCTCAAGTGTCATCTATCATCTTAATATACAATAAAAATTTTGAGCCAAACAATATAGGTACATTTTCCTATAAAAATATAAAAGCTAAAATTCGGAAACATATGTGCCTTTACACAAAGTTGCTACTGTTGTCGATCTTCTCCCCTCTGGCTTTTAATTGTAAGTAATTTTCATTAATGAAACGTGTCTGCCTTTCTCATATATAGAAGAATAAAATAAACATGCAGTCTGGTATCCATCACTGTACCACTTAATTAAAACACTTAAACGGTTTTTTTTTTCTCTGGAATGAAGTTTAAATTGGGAATGTTTCTTCTATGAGTCAAAGTGATTGATTTTCAAAACAATTCTTTGCCAAGCAACACAATTATTCTATTTTCGCTTTTCCTGTTGTTAAAAGTCTGCACGAATTCCGCATGATGGTGGATGGGGTAAATGCACTTCCGGACCGTACGGCGCCAAGCTGCACACTTCATTATTTTCTCACTGGCTTGAAAATGAACCATTTTTTGTCCACTCAGAGACGTGACAACAATATACGAATTTGTTGTTTCATCTATACGCCCAATCATTATAATAGAGGGTCCCTAATTCAAAAGATATCTAATGTAAATCCGAAACGGTTTATTCTCATGCTAATAATAGCTAGGACTTATCGAAAAGATGAAACATCCCGACCTCAGATTGGATAATGGCCATTGTAATTTATTAAATTACCCATTGTAAATTAAGACATTATTCATATAAAGATTTATTTTCAAATGGTTAATTTAAATTCATATGGGCTACGGGTTCTCACAAATTCACAAAATAATTTTTTAGAAGGACAAGCATGCATATAAATCTAATTTATCTGGCCCAGACAATTTCTCCAGGGCTTTTCTTATCTTGGAATAAGCGGGGGAAAAGAGAGGAGGAAGAATTACTCTGGATTATCATAAACATAAAGATTTTTCTTTTGTGTGTGTTTTCTGGAAGAAACTATAATAAAAATGTTATTGTGTAGTGAGGGTCAGGCCACTTTTTTTATTTTTATTGTCTGGGGGTTTTATGTGTGTCCTGATATTACCCCCTATAGTTTAATCCATATAAAGTTTCAGCAGCTTTGGAAAGAAAATTTTTAGAATTAGGGATTATTTATTAAAAATCACTTTGTCTAAATATGTTTTTTTTTTTTCAGTGGACTAAATTTCCAAGACCTAATGGTACGCCAAGGTGCTATAGATTCACCTCCAAAATGTCCCTTCATCTTGGGTTTCGAATGTGCTGGCGATATTGAACAAGTCGGAGAAGGTGTTGAAGATTTCCAGGTAATTTTCTCCAAATTTTTTTAATAAAATTCTTATGCCCATCAGCAGGGGCATCTTCAATAAGAAATTAATCCCATCAAACACAAAGTTCCCACACACTCAGGTATATTTTTTGGGGCTTTACACAGGTAAAATTTCACCAAAGTAGATTAAAACTTTTTAGTGATTCTTATGAAAATAAAATCCCAGCTTACAAACAAAAAATCTATACATTCTTTTTATATAGCTTTATCCAGCTAAAATTATCATTTCCTGTATTGCCTAATATGCATCTTTATAATAGCAGATAAGGGACTTGATTATATTGCATTTTGAAGATATCTGAGAACCAGAGGAATGCAGGCAGGATGTAATAAATAATTTAAGTTATCTTATATGTGGAAAAGAAAATTTTCCATGCTAATATAGCAACAAAATAATTGTGATTGAGTTTAAAGCATCTTTGATCAAACATTGAAATCTATACAAAAAATTCCAGGTTGGTGATCGTGTGGTCGCCCTTCCAGAATACCGAGCCTGGGCGGAACTTGTAGCAGTTCCAGCCAAATACGTCTACAAACTACCCCAAGGACTGTCCTATTTAGATGCCGTCACCATCACGATGAACTACACTGTAGCTTACATCCTCCTATTCGAAATCGGTGCTATAACTCAAGGAAAATCGATTTTGGTGCATTCCGTTGGCGGTGGAGTGGTAAGAATTTAATTTTATTCTTTGTCATTATTAGTCAGTGTTTTAATTATCTACACACTAAACGTTTTAGTACCGAGGAATGTTTGTGGCCCCTTTAATTTCCAATATAATCTTTTATTGTGGTTGATAATTGCTTTACAGTAAATTGGAAAACTTTTTTTCGTTCAACTAATGAGATTTTTGCTACGACACCCGGGGAAATTAAACTTTTAGATTTCTACTCCTTTTTGTCGAACTTTGAAGCCTCTTTTGGCATGGTTTGAATAATAATTAGAGGCTGGGAACTTGTCAAGACTTGGACAAGTGATTTTGCTTGTCTTGGAAGGATTTTCAATCTTAATTTTATTTATCTTGAAGGCTTGAAGTAGAGAGTGTAGGAAAAGTAATTTCCACAAACCAAATATGAAGAAATAATTTAGGAATTAAAGACAGAGACATCAGGGTCTTTCAACATTTCTATTGGGTTTTTGCGGGTGTTTGTGGCAGAGCTGTTTTGAGTACAGGCAAAATGTACTCGGCTACTGGATACAAGTACTTAGCGTAGAATGTATTTGAGTACAGAGTACAATTCAATACCCAAGTATTCAAAGTACCAATGACAACGTCCTCTTTTAAACAGCCTTGATCTATCATGGAAATCTAATGAATCCTCATAGGCTGCAAGCGCTGAGGTAGTTGCGAACTTAGCATTGCACATGGGTTATGACGTCACCTACCCTTTCACACTTCCGTCACATTTCCCAAAATTTACCATCAAACCGCCGGTATAGATGTTCACACATTAAAAATTGAAAAACACATTTTGCTTTACTAAATGAATTCAGCAATTTTGAAGTTTGATTTGGTTACCCAGAGTCCAGAGTTTATAAGGACTCGGTTATAACTGCACAAATTATAATGTATAATTATATATTTTAAATCAGAATTAAATTATCTTTAAGATAAAATAAGATTCAATTCTCTATCTTAAATACTTCTGGAGATATTGAGGCTCAAAGTCAAAACTTTGTCTCAAATTTCACAAAAGATTCAAAGCTGATTTTCTCGAAAACGAAGCCCTTGGTTTCGGTGTCTCAAATAACTTTTTTTATAGCCCTTCTGAATAGCTACAATTGGGCAAAAGATTCATGCCGATAGCTTTACTGGTTTCCAAAATATGGCCCTTTGAAATATTTGATAATGAAATTTCCATACCCCTTTGAAAAAATTTGTATTTTTAAATTTTTGGATTTTGTAATTTTTGACTTTACCAATCGAAAGAGGAGGTGAAAATTAGTGGAAAAGCATTTACGCAACTTTGTTTCTTGGGTTTTAGGGCTTGTAAAAAAATAAAAACCGTTTTTCCACATTTTGGACCCAGAAAATTTCAATAATCTGACATTGTCTCATAGAATTGCTCATTACTCGGTTATAACTGCATATATTATGATGTATAATTATATATTTTGAATCAGAATTAAATTATCTTTAAGATAGAATAAGATTTAATTCTCTATCTTAAAAACTTCTGGAGATATTGAGGCTCAAAGTCAAAACTTTGTCTCTAATTTCACAAAAGATTCAAAACTGATTTTGTCAAAAACGAAGCCCTTGGTTTCGGAGTCTCAAATAACCTTTTTTATAGCCCTTCTAAAGAGCTACAATTGAGCAAAAGATTTAGGCCGATAGCTTCACTAGTTTCCAAAATATGGCCCTTTGAAATATTTGAAAATCAATTTCCCATGCATACCCCTTTGGAAAAATTTGAATTTTTAAATTTTTGGATTTTGCAATTTTTAACTTTACCAATCGAAAAAGGAGGTGAAAATTAGTGGAAAAGCATTTACGCAACTTTGTTTTTTGGGTTTTAGAGCTTGTAAAAAAATAAAAATTATTTTTGCAATTTTTGAGCTCAGAAAATTTCAATAATTTGACATTGTCTTACTTAACCACTCATTATTCGGTTATAACTGCACATTTTATGATGTATAATTATATATTTTGAATCAGAATTAAATTATCTTTAAGATAGAATAAGATTTAATTCTCTATCTTAAAAACTTCTGGAGATATTGAGGCTCAAAGTCAAAACTTTGTCTCTAATTTCACAAAAGATTCAAAGCTGATTTTCTCAAAAACGAAGCCCTCGGTTTCGGAGTCTCAAATAACCTTTTTTATAGCCCTTCTGAAGAGCTACAATTGAGCAAAAGATTTATGCCGATAGCTTTACTGGTTTCCAAAATATGGCCCTTTGAAATATTTGAAAATCAATTTCCCATGCATACCCCTTTGGATAAATTTGAATTTTTAAATTTTTGGATTTTGCAATTTTTGACTTTATTAATCGAAAGAGGAGGTGAAAATTAGTGGAAAAGCATTAACGCAACTTTGTTTTTTGGGTTTTAGAGCTTGTAAAAAAACAAAAATTATTTTTGCAATTTTTGAGCTCAGAAAATTTCAATAATCTGACATTGTCTCGCAAAATCGGTCATTACTTGGTTATTATTGCAACAAATATGATGTAAAATTATATATTCTGAATCAGAATTAAATTATCTTCAAGATAGAATAAGATTCAATTCTCTATCTTAAATACTTCTGGAGATATTGAGGCTCAAAGTCAAAACTTTGTCCTAAATTCCACAAAAGATTCAAAGCTGATTTTCTCGAAAATGAAGCCCTTGAGTTGGGAGTCTCAAATACCCTCTTTTCATTGAGATAAAATTCAGTGAAAATTTCAGCTCTCTATCTATAATAGAAAAAAGTTATGACCTTTCAAAGTTTTCCAAAATCTAAATCATAAGATGTGCTTTATGGGTTTGCAATTGGGTTGTTATGACCGTGTTTGGATTGTGCTTCAAGGTAGCTTTTGATAATTATTATTGTAAAAGGAAATCAGAATTTCCAAATTTATGGCCACGGACACATCACAGTGCACAGAAAAGTTCAAAATTTTCGTTTGCAAATCACAACGATCAATGGAACGCATGCTAAAGCATCTGATGCTAAACAAGAAATGGCTGAAAATTGGTCATATCGTAACCGTAACATAATAGGTCTGTTCCAACACAGCAGGAAACTGTACAATTTATCGTCATGATTCTGCGCAAACTGTAGCGAAATTCGTTCACTGAGTGGTTTCGAATTCGTTCATGGAACGGTTTTTGACGTTTTGGAACAGACCTAATGTCAGATCTCAACTTGTCTCGAAATGTACTTGTGGCCAAATAAATATGTATTTAGTTAGAGTCCAATAATTTTACTCACCAACTGCAAATGTATTCGAAAACAATGAAAATACTCGGGTATAACAAATGTATTTAAGTAAAAACGCATGTACGCGGGTATTTTGAAAATTACTCAGTACAATCTTGGCCTGAGTACCGAGTAACTAAAAATATACTTAGAGTACAAGTGAAGAGTACTCGTACCGTACCCGAGTACCGCACAGCTCTGAAACCCATCAGGATGATGAATATTTTCCAAATATGACACTGGAGCAGTCTTTGCTTCATACCTCCGTTAATTTTCATCCAATTTCAATGTAACGCAGAAAGTCTAAAGCCCACTGGGTGGTGGGTTTTTGTGTATACCATTAACCTTGATCTAATGTCAAAAAGATTGAGGAACTTCAAGCATAAATACCAGAATTTTCTAGATGTTCAAAAAGCAATTAGCCCATGAGCCACTCATAGGGAAGAAGTTGAAGAAGGGAAACTTTAAGAAACAATATTTAAGGCGAAGAAGTTGCTGAAAAAGCATTGAATCCATTTGCTATTTCTAATAAAGATTAATTTCCAGAGAAAACGCTTCAAGAACTGAAAATTCCAGAAGTGGTTGTTAAAAATGCAACTCGCCCAATATAACTTGAAGAATAATTTGAAAACTAATCACTTTTCCACACAATTGCATTATGATAAAGAAGAAAGTCAAAGATAAAAAGTAGAATGTTTTTAAAAAATGAAAAACAATACCTAATGAAATAATTACCAAAATATTGATTGTGGGGTGGCATTAGAAATCTCACTCTCCATTATCAGAAGTTTCCCTTTGGCAGCAAAAAAAAGGGGCTCCAAATTGAGTTTCGCCGCAACAAGGATCTTGGTTTGACGTTTGGAAAATTGCTTACTTATAATTCAAGTCAACTTTCTTTTCAAAATTTTAGGTATACGTGTATTTCATTCATTCAGTTTAGTTTGCATTTTATTGATTAGCAAAAGATTGGTTGCTTTCTAAGTGGAAGTTTGTAATATGTATGTATTTACATTCAACTGTGAAGTTTCAGGTTTTCTATATTTCAAAATTGAATAATCCAAAAATTCTCTATGGAAAAACATCTGTAGCTTAAACAATTAAAATATCCATTACATTAAGCCAACAAAGCACCATGTTGAATTCAGTGTACCTAATGGGTAAACATAGTAAATTTTGCATTTACTACACAGTAGACATGCACCATATGGCGAATACAAAGGGCACAAACATTTACCTACTGGCGACCCTATGAATTTCAATTTTGTAGTAAACAGTTTTCAAGAATTCGAAATTGAACAGAGCTTTGAAATAAATCCAGCACAAGTGGCTTTCAGAAAACTATAAAAGATTAATTTCAAGAGGGATTTTATTTCTGGAAGTTATGAGCTGTTTATTATTTGGCCTAGTTTTATGACATAAAAGCCACATTTTTAAAATTTAAAATATTTTGTTTATTTTTAAAATAGCTTGCTATACCGCAAAAGTATCCTGTGTATTCATTGTAATTAAATATGAATAATATTTGTCTTTAAATTTTCATTATCTGAGAAGCTAAATATAAATTGTAATTGTTCGGTAAATAACCTTCTCGAGTAAATAATTGCAAAATTTCTTTTGAACGATGTAGATGCATGGAAATTTAATAAAACAACAACTGCAGCATGTTTTAATAACAATAAATGATAATTTGTATTGCGACACAATCCTATTTATTTTATTCTCCAAGAAATTATTATTTGCAATGATTAATAACTGTTCTAATCACATTAGTCATGTTTTATCACTTTGTGACTTTGTAAGCCATTCGACATGATTCATTAACGTTTCATTTACAATTCGCTTTATAACCTGTTAGTGTGGAACAAATGTTAATCACAGCTGAGCGGAAATGCATATAAGTTGATGAATGGATGCAAAATTGTCGAACATACAAAAAAAAATTATTATTTGACCAACCGTAGCGGATTCCGCACTTGACGACAAACGGTCATGAAAGTCGGATTGGGGTCTTTCACCCCTTTCGTCCCGACGTCAGGCAACAGGTAGCTTGGCGGCGCCGCGACGCCCTAAGAGGGATGGCACCCCTCGGGCACTTTCCAGACGCCTATCGATCCGATTTAAAAAAAAAGGAATATCTGTGAAGCTATACTTTTGATCCTAATGATTTAACAGTAAAAACGACTATTGAAACATACAAATATATTTCAGAGATGATTAATAAAGTAAAGAAAATGAGTACAAAATATTTAAGGTGAAATAGAAATAATTCATCATATAATTTGCAAAAAGGTACCAAGAGTTCTATGAGCAGATTTCTTGATAGGTACCTACATATATTTAGATTGGCCAGTCTTGTTGAATTCTTCTTGGAAAAATCCCATCATTCAGATACAATTCATTTTTTCCGACCAACAAAGACATATGGGTTTCTCAATTTTTCTCTTTGTAGAAAATTGCCAAAGTTCTTTGAGCAGTTTTGTCAGCCATCTGTTGAATTCTTCTTGGAAGAATCTCATAATGCAAATGAAATTTTCCAACTAACAAAAACATAAATTCAACTAAATAATGTTCTCCTTACTGAACTATTTTCCTTTTATCTGAATTCTGATTTTCTTCCCTGACATTAATGCTGATTATCAAAATAATAATTTTCAAAAATTTATAATATTTCTCTAGGATTGTGTAATGTTGTCTGGAAATATTTCCTCTGCAATTGCATGTTGTTTCCTCATAAAAAGTGATATGTTAGGGCCTTTCCACCGTGACTGAGTGGCTTTTCCAGGGTCCGCAACGGCTTGAATTATTAAATTTCGAAGGGTTATAAAGCAAGCGAATGGAGACTTTTTTTATTTACTCTCCATTTTTATGGCGCCAGAATAAAATATGTATTGGGGAAGTTTGACCTAAAAAGCAAAACATGTTGGGGTGCGTCAAGCTCGAGGGGTAAACCACTATGCTTACAAATGTACAATGTACAATGATTTCCATATTTGGCAATCACTGATCAATGTAGTCTCGAGTTCAGTTATTAGCTCCAGTTATTGGGAAACTCATTGGGATATCAAAAACTTAGTCTTGAAGGCAAATACACAACTGACTGGTACGCTGTATCGTTTAAAATGTATGATATGCGACTTCTGGGTTAGAATGAGATGATATTCCTAGCGATTACCCTATGTGATTCTTATGGATTCCTAGGCGATTCCAAGTGATTCCCATGTATTCCTGATTCATTACTATGTGATTCCCAAAAAAAATGTACAATGATTTCCACTAGTGTTTTACCCCTCGGTCAAGCTTATTTTTTTTGTTATAGGGTCAAGCGGTAGCTCAACTTGCCAAGACCATTCCAGACGTGACTATCTTTGGACTTTGTTCAAAAGGCAAACACGATACACTCAAAGAAGCTAGCTCAGTTGACCATCTTCTTGAAAGAGGCTCCGACTATGTCAGCGAAATTAAAAAGGTAATTTCACTATCAATAATAATAAAATCTTAGACTCAAATATAAAATTTCCAACACAGATATCACCCGAAGGAGTCGATGTCGTATTGGATTGTCTTTGCGGCGAAGAGTGCAATAAGGGCTATAACTTGCTTAAACCCATGGGACGCTACGTTCTCTACGGAACATCTAACGTAGTTACCGGTGAGACGAAGGGCTTTTTCAGTGCCGCAAGATGTGTAAGTATTTTTATCCTCAAAAATAATCGTATATGGTTTTAAAAATCGATCCTTACAGTGGTGGCAAGTGGACAAAGTGTCCCCATTGAAATTGTTCGACGAAAACAAGAGTTTGGCCGGTTTCAACTTGCGCCACTTGATGTATCAGCAAAACGGAGCTGAGCACGTTAAGAAAACCGTCAGCAAAGTGTTCCAGTTGTTTGAGGATGGAAAAATTAAACCGCTTTTGGATTCCACTTGGGCTTTAGAAGATGTAAGTAATAATCCACGATTGATTTAGTAAAGTTCTTTTTGTGCCTGTCACACCCTTGTACTAAAGTTCTTAATTCACATTTTGGTTTCTCAGACACGCACCTAATAATTGTCTACTACTATTTTATGAAACTAATTAAGTATATATCGTTTTTTGTGTCACGCAATTGCGTGTTAGTAGGTATTTGATTGTCTTGGTTTTTGTAGATCCTAATAAGATTTGATTATTATCCATGATCCAATTCTAGGTGGCTGAAGCCATGCAAAAGATGCACGACAGAAAAAATGCAGGAAAAATGATCCTCGATCCCAGCTTGGAGCCCAAACCGAAACCGGCGACTCCGGCCAAAGGTAAAGACAAGAAGAAGCAGTCGTCCGAAGAGAAAAAGGACTCTGAAGAAAAGAAGGAGGATAAGAAGGAAAAGAAAGAAGAAAAGGAAAAGGAGGATGAGAAGAAGGAAAAGGAAGAGAAAAAGGAAGAAGTGGTCACTAACGGTACTGGAGAGCCTGCTGCTGAAGAAGCAGAAAAGAAGTAAGCTATTTAACAGAGTATATAAATGTATTTACCTGTTGACAATGATAATATTTAAGATAATCAACATTTAATTAACACAAAGATTGTATGAAATATAATATTCAAAATGATCCTAAACCTAAATACATATTCTCAATCATCTTTGTGTAAAGTAAAAAAAAAAAAACACACATTTCTTTACAATTATTATTAAACATATTTCCATAGGGATCTCAAACTGACCATATTTGCTGTGTTATAATTTTCAAATCAAAATTAAAAGTCTGTGAAATGACCAAATCAGTAGATTAATCAACTAACACGTCATCAAGTTTATATATATATATATTTTTTTTTAATTAGCTTAAGAATTATATTTTTCTGTAATAGTTTGTTTTAAGTGAATAAGTTTGTATTATTAATTATTTGAATGTGTTTTGTTTAGTAATGAAGTTTATATGAATATGTTTTTATTTTTGCCTTTTGAGAGATTTTTATTCCAAAATTTTTTGACAAGGGACGTTTTTGCAGAAAATTATTTCATAAATATATTCCTGGCTTTTGTGCTTCAATATTTCTGCAAAAATCCTTGATTAATTTTCATTTAAATCGACATATCTTATATTATAATCGACTTCAGACCAAACATCTATAAGTAGTTAGCATTTTGATAAACATATTTTTTCATGCCAAATTAATGGAAACGAATTTGTACCATTCTCAGTATACCTATAATATTTTTGCTAAAAATTGCCATTTTACTGAAAGCCATATCAACTTTGAACACTTTTAAAAACGAATTTTTATACTGTAAACATTAAGTTTAGCATTTTAAGGCAAATTTCCGTTCGCTTATACTGTAATCTCTTGCTAATTATTGTGTAAAATCCTTAAACTGTATTTAAATTAAGGTATAATTGTGCAAAATATATTTTTCATAAATCGTATGGAATGAGACCCAATGTATTTAGAAAAGCCAGCTAGAAAAATGTTGTGTAAAAAAAAAAATATTCCATTAATGATTATTAAAAGTATGTTGAATGATGCTTAAAAATAAAAATTATTATGTACATGTAAGACTGATGTGTTAAGCTACTGCATTTTATTGTTTGGATGCCTGTATAATAAAAATTGTATGATTATGATATTTGGAGTTTGATTTTGAACTTTTCTGTAGGCAATAGAACTATTACTATACTATATGATTTTTTATTATTTGATTTTGAAATTCCAACTCAATTTCTATCCTATAGACTTATTCACAGATGCCCTAGGCTTGTCTGCTGTTTCTGCAACATTTTGTTCAGACTGTGTTTTAATTTCTGCATTATTTTCGTAGTCGTGAGTCGCAACTTCCTGTTCTACACTTTGAATTTCTAGAAAAAAAAAACAGTCAAGTGTAATATAATTGTTTGCATGAGTAATCACTTACCTTGATCAGTTAATTTCTTCTTTTTGTTCTTTCCTCTACCCTTTTTGGTCTTCTTAGGCTTGGGTGGCGGTAATTGAGTGTCCGGATAATAAGACATATAATTTTGAACTAATTCCTGGCATTCGATTTGATTTTTTTTGTTCATAAACAGGCGCATTACTGCCTCAACTAAATCCTTATCTAGTTTTTTGATTTTTTGCTTTTTAAGGTCTTTTTTGAAATCTTCTGGGGAAATTGGGTTTTCGGGCAGATTTAATATAAAATGTCTATTCAAAGGATGTTAATTAAAATCAAAGAAGGTTTAGGTTGAATCCAAAACTAACCCGAAATCCTTTTTTGCTTTTTTCATTTTAGGTTTCTGCAAAATAAACCTACATCTTTCGTATATCAGTTTGTTCGCATCCGGACCGTGTATCTCGTAGTCACTCAGAATTCCTCCAATTTTAACTACTTTGCCTAAATGACGAACTTTTTGAAGCAACTATAAAACTCTCAATGCAATTTTATTTTAAAATTGTGCCACATTTACCATTTTTGAATCTTTAGTCAGATACACATGTTCCATATCCAGCAAACGCAATGTAACATTTTTTATTCCCTTGCCAGCACCCAACAGCGTTAAAAGTGAGTGAGCTGTTGCAGGACCAAATAAATTGTTACCAATTTTAAGCGATATTAGAGAAATATTTTTGTTTAGGGCTCCCCTAATTATTAATGTTACTTCATCTCCTAAACTAAAACAAACTTTTAAATTGAAAAAAACTATACATATAAATAGATTAGGTATATATACCGGTTACTACTAATATCAAGCTCTTCCAGGTTTTGTGTAAGCCTCAAATATTTAGCTAGAGGCCTAACAGCACCTTCAACTCCTATTCCATTCCAAGCCAAATTCAATTTCCGAATCCTATCATTTTGCGTGAGCCCATTGAAAAGCCTCTTGTTGCCTGCAGGCGTGAAAAATCCGCACCAACTCAAATCGATTTCCTCAATGTTTTTATTCTCCAAGAAAATCTTTTCCATTACCAGCGCCGAGTCTTCTGTGATGTTGTTGTGGCTCAGATTCAGTATTTTTAGGGATAAGTTTTCGCATAGGCCGTCTCTTAGGGCCAGCAAACCTTCGTCGCCTATTTCGTTGAAACGTAAGTCCAGGGATTTTAACGTTTGGAATGTCGATAGGACTTCTCCTAGTTTTTGGGCTCCTGAAAGTTACATTTTTAAATGTCTTAAGTCTCCAAATGTTACATTCTCTGAATTCAGTAGACTTTGTAGCAAAACGCCCCAAGTACTCTATGTAATTAGTTAGATGGTAAATGGCGAGCGGTATATTGATGGTGTTTATTAACTTGGAGCTGCTACCTAAAATCTGTGGAAGGGTCTATTTGCAAGAGAGAGAAACAAACTATTGAGGTGTACTAAAATTATATTTTATTATACATAAATAAACCAAAAAAATTTTAATCAGCAAAATATCTTCCAATTCTGACAGCCTCATCTATTTTTCTAAATTCATTTACTTCACATCCGTTCAAAATGTCATTATTACGGACCACTGAAATATCCCTACTAATAAAGAAACGCCCTATTCCTACTATTCCTAATCACTTATAAAGTTAACTCATTTCAACACTTCCGATTCATTCCTATTAACTACCCTTCTCCTATTTCTATAAATTCTTTAAAATTTCTAAGTCCTTTACTGACTGCTTATGAAAACCCAAAATAATTTACCTATTTGTTTATTAATATAGGTCTTACTAACTTATTCTTATAAAACCATACAATAATTTCTACTTGAAAAATAAAAACCCTAATTCAAAATTCATTTCATGAACAATAAGTTCCTTTAACAACTTTCCAATATTTTAAGACAATTCTATTTCATGAACATCAAGTTTCTTGTCAAAATTTTCTATTCCATTTAATAGTTTATTTAATCAGAACAATTCTATAATATCTAATAAATCCAACTGTTTAATTCATAATTCCAACTCAAAATTGTATATTGTTAAATGCATTATAAGTTTCCTTCATATTTTCCTTGCACAATTAAATTAGAATGTCATTATATCTGAAGGCAATTAAAGTTATGCAATAATGTTCCATTGATATTTCACTTTATAGTCATTCATCTTTTATAAAGTCAAAAGTTTTACTAGGAAAATCACTCAAGTTTTAAGGCATTGAAAGTCATTTGTTAATTCACTACTTATCATTCAGAATCATTGATAAAAGTCAGAAAATTATTAAACACTAAAGTACTCACATTTAACTTTGCACCCGTAAAATTACTTAATTAATTACTCAAAATTTTTAGCTAGCACGCACATAAATGTTGACGAATTTAATTGTTCTTTCTTTCAAAATTTTTCCGCTATTTTTTCAAAGACTGTCCCACATAACAGTAAAAGAACATTCATATTCTCAGAATATTCCCTCAAAGTGCTTTTTGGAATGTTCTTTTAGGAATGTTTAATGAATATTCTTAGATTGTTTCAATTGAAATATTCATTTTTAGACGTTCTATTTATGTACTAGGATTGTTGCTTCTATGCACCTACCTGAAAGATTGTGCTAAGAACCTACTTTATGTAACATTATCTGAATATTGTCACACGAACATTATTATAATGTACCCTAAAAAATGTTCTTTCGGCTAATATCTCTATCAAGTATCAAGAATATAGCTACCAAGTTGTGCTGAGAAGTTTATGTAGGTAGGTACCCACGATAAGAATATTTCCATATTGTTCACCTAATTATCTAAAGTACCTACTCAAAAATCTAATTGAATTATTAAGCAATAATGCTCTATCTAGAACCTACTAAGAATATTATAGGTATATTCTTTTTCTTTTGCTTTGTGTGACTTGCAAGAGAGGGAGCCACGCGCTATTAACGATCTACATCTTGCCTCGCGTTTGAATCACCTTGGAACCTGTTTCTCTCAGTTGGCGTGCTTACCGCGACGAGAGCATAATAGGCTCAAAACCGGAGCTTTGGTTAAACACTTGTGTTTTCCAGAGAAATTTTCCAACAACTCTTCCACTGCCTTTAATATAGAAGGACTGAAAGTAGCATTATTTGGTTGGATGCGAAAATTAACATTCCAAATATGTCCCTAGAATCAAACAAAGAATGTTATGTCTAGGATGCATATTGAGAATGATATATGTAGATATATTCTAAGAATATTTCAAGCATATTGGTATAATATTCTTTTGAGAACATAACTAAAATGTCATAGGAACATTCTTTGAATGTGAGAATATACATTTCAAGCATATTTTTAGAATCAAACAGGAATATTCTTTTCAGAATGTACTGAGAATCTCATAGGTATATTCTAGGAATATCCTGATGGATTTCTCAGGAAGTTCTTGGGTATTGCAAACAGTATTTCTACAATCTTTTCTCAGAACATTCTCAGGACATTCGCAATGGTTTTGGCGAACATCCTAGGCACATTCCTCAAAAAAAAAAGAACATTCTCAGTACATTCTAAGGATGAAATTTTGTTATGTGGGGTTACCGAGGCAATACAAGAAACTTTTCGCGAAACCGGACAGACTTTAACTCAAACTGGACTGGACTGCTAACAACTGGCAGCTCAACTGACAACTGCCTTCCACTTCTAAAACCGCTGTATTTATATTTTTTGATTCCCCACCGAAATTTCTGTGTCCATGACAATTAAGATGATGCAATCTCCTTAAAATTTTTGTCATTTTTATCTGTTTCGAATAACTATGTCGCAATTTCCTGATTTTATCGGGGTTAGTGTTGCAGGTATTTCTTGTTCTTGTCTTGCTTTTTCTTGTTCTTGTCTTGTTCTTGCATGCAAGAACAAGACAAGAAGTGGATGAGCAAGAAATATACAAGACAAGAAACTCATAAGCAAGAACAAGATTTCTTGTGCAAGAAATTTGCAAGAAGCAAGACTTCTTGCATAATTTATTTTGAATAATAATATTTAGGTAGTTAATGAATATTAGCAAAAAATAACACATAATTACTTATACTCGAATAACGTTTATTGTAAATAAATAAAATAATTTGACAAAAAAAAAAAATCTTTTTTATAGTTTGGTACATAAATAGGACGTTTCATTGAAGAAGCAGTTACAAAAACTTTGAAAAATTCGTATTCTAATAAAACACAACAAACAAAAAATATGCTGTCTCAACAAAATTCTTAAAAATGGTGTGTGCTCAAGACCACAGGACAGAAAGTGAAAACTTCAATTAGGCGAGATTAACAATAGGAAATACAGGTATTTTTCATGCTCTATATTCAATGCCCAGATTGATCTACCTTTGTATCAAAGGGGTCTATGTCAATTCGTCGTAAGTCAATTCGTCATACGTCAATTCGTCGTAAAGTCAATACGTCGTAAAGTCAGTTCGCCGTATACGTCAATTCGTCGTAAAGACAATTCGTCGTATACGTCAATTCGTCGTAAATTCAATTTTTTTTGTACACGTGAATTCGTCGTAGCGTTAATTCGTCGTATACGTCAATCCGTCGTAGCGTTAATTCGTCGTATTTTAGGTATAATGTTAAAGTGTATAAATTTGCACTTTTTCTATTTGATCCAGACATTATCAAGTTTACCTATAATAACGACGCATTACCATATTGTCGTATATGTCAATTTCTCGTAGCATTGATTCGACGTATACGTCAATTCGTCGTAAAGTCAATTTGTCGTACACGTCAAATTGTGGTAAAGTAACGTATACGACGATGGAGAGTTCTCGTGCTGTCCATATTTCGAATACCGTAACGCTATTTGACAAGTATGACAATGCTTACGGTATTAGCATTTGCGGAGCCCGCTTACTAACGGGACTTAGCGGATGCCTTACCGTAACGCTACGCTATGACAAAATTAGTTTACGCCCCATTAACATCTGCAAGAACAACAGTTTCTGATAATTCTTCCATAAAAAAATCACCATGAGAAAATTAATGATACTCAGGAATCTTCAGGATAAATAAAAGTGAAAAAACAAGCAAAAAAAAGTTGGGTTAGATTACTCAATTCCAGCTGTCAAAACCGAATAAGGGATTAGAGGATTTCTGTGTCTTCGTATGCGAGAACTATAAAATAGGTACTATTTAAAACACCGTATTGTTAGCGTTAACCTATTAGCGTAGCGTCTGAGGCACAAGAACTTTTTAATACAGGTAATTCGTCGTTATTATCGGTAAGGACGGTAAGTTTGATAACGTCTGATTAAACAGTAAATTTATACATTTTAACATCGTATCTGAAAACGACGAATTAAAAATACGACGAATTGACGTATACGATGAATTAACGTGTTAATAGTTTGCAATTCTGATCAGACATCATCAAACTTACCGATAATAGCCTGGTTAGTTTGCAATGTAATGCCTGATTAAAATTGCAAACCAACGGGGTTAAGTTTGGTAATGTCTGAAATAACTAACTAGACAGTGTAAATTTATACATTTCAATATTTTCACATAATACCTGAAATACGACGAATTGGAGTATACGACGAAATAATGTTACGACGAATTGACGCATACGACGAATTGACATATACGACGAATTAACTTTACGCCGAATTGACGTATACGACGTATTGATTTACAGCGAATCGTCGGTGAGTCGTATCAAAGATATGAATAGTTTTGATTTAAATCCATTTGCCAAATATTCTTTAGATTATGCCTGTGTGAAACAGCAATTTCTGTCACACATGAGCATACGGCATACGTTTATATTACATATATTAAATTACGATCAAAGAAAACAGAAAATAATGATTATTGTCAAAAAATGTGTTAACTCGAGACGACTGTACCCGAATGAGCGTTACATAGTAGAACGTGACGGCTCAGTTTCATTCAGTAGGTACTCACAAATTCAACTTGCAAAAAAAATATTTGTAAAGGTTCCAATATAATGAAAACTTTCAAAAATAAAACATTTTCATTAAACATTTAATTCGTCGACTTGTCTAATGTAATCTTCTTTAATACAATTAAAAACGTTTGAGTTTTTTCAAGGAAGTTCAATCATTATTTTAAAACTTAACTTGCTCAACTCTTTGAAAAGGGACTATAACCAATGTCAAATCTACGTAGGAACTTTTTATGAAGCAAGAACAAGAAATAGCAAGAGTCTTGCAGCAAGAACAAGAAATAGGCTTGCAAGAAATTTGCAAGACCAAGAAATTGGAAATTTCTTGTCTTGCTTAGCAAGACAAGACAAGAAATAACCGAGCAAGACAAGATTTCTTGCGACCTGCAACAGTAATCGGGGTCACTACGAATATTTTTAGATTCAAGAATGCCATAAATCATCGATTTAATTAGGTACGATGGCCTCGCTAAAAAAAGTTCATTGATCGGATGTTAGGATGACATAGACTGGGTGTCGAAATACGTTAGTGTTAATTTGTTTCATTTTTAATTTATCGATACTGATTTGAGATATCGGAAATTTAGTTTTTGATTGTTTGATTAAATTTAATTTTTACAGTAAAGACATTGTAATTATCGGGACTATTTTTCCCGGATCATTACAACTTTGTATATTACTTACCTGTTGCTCCTATTCTACATTCGTACAAAGAAACAACTTGTAAAGATGTATTTTCCACTAACATGTCGCTGATCATTTGTGTCATTTCAACTGATAGCCAATTTTCTTCTAGAAATAAATTTCGTACGTGAGCGTTTGCTTTTAGGGCGTCGGTTAGTGCTTTTATTTGTTTATGAGTCAATCCATAATACTACAATTATTGTAAAAAAATTCTTTTAATGATATTCTAAGTAGGTACATACTTCATAGAATATGATACAAAAACTATATGCCAGAGGACCATTATTGCTAACATTAAAGAGCATATAAGACCAAAAATCAAAATTTTAAAACTGGAGTTCTACAAGGATGTCTCAGAACCTCTCAATTCGTCAAAAAAGATGGGTTTAAAAAAATGATCAAGATATTAAATGCAACAGACATTGAAAAAGAAGATTCTACGAAACGGAAAAATAGGAAAGATAAGTTCTGACTACAAAACAGTTGATGAAACAATTATCAGATACGCGGAAACTAAACTACCGCAATGAAAGACAAAAGACTGATCATTGTTTAGGATTTCTACTAAACAAACTCTATCTATTAGAAGATATTCCAATTCCGGGAATAACAAACAGATTAACAAGAGAAGTTGTTAGAGTCTCGTGAAAATTATGAGTAGAATACACTACTCTACAATCTTTTCATCAGTTACTAACTCTTCGTCAAAAGAGCTGCATAATTATTACTTTTAAATCAACTGTCTCAGTTTCCAAAGAATTGATTATTCTCTTTATGGGCACTATTTCCATTTCTGTACAAAGTTTCTTGTATTTTTCTGCACCTATATCATCAACAACCGGAGATGGCTCTAAAATAATAGTAAAGTTAAGTACTATATTACTAAAACCATTAATGTATAAAACCTGTATATTTAAAAACTGTATCGATTCCTGGATCCTCTAAAGCAGGAAATAGAAAAAGTCTATTCCTAGCTAAAGAGCTGCTGGACAGTAAAAGTTGGCCCAAGCATCTAAACGATTCAGTGTTTCTTTCCAATAAGTGTTTGCTATCGCAAAAATCTTCCAATTTAATCGTTTCGTCCGACTGTTTGGTGAGTTGCTGCAACAGCATATCGCCTTCGCTAACATATCGTCTAAATTTTTCTTCAATTCTAATGGAACTTGTTTTCGAAGGGAAATTTATCCCAGACGAAGTGGGTACGGTTTTCAAAGAGATACGGCTCGGCGGTGTACTTAATACCCATTCACTAGCTTCTAAAAAGGGTTGTATTTGAGAATTGATTGCAATTTTTTCAAAATTATTTTCGACCTTTGGAAGCCATGTGGAGATCTTCGAACCTGCTGATGGTTACGAATTGTTCTGGGTTCACGCTGCTTGCAAGGCTTGGATCCATAGACATGATTCGTGAGACCATCGTGAAAGTTAGAAATACAAATGTGTCAATAAATTTGAAATATGTCACAAATATGCATAGACAAATATGTTTCACTCATATGGTTTTAATTAGTATAGTTGGTGCTGATAATATTTAGCATGCTAGATTCTACTTTTACTAGGATAGTCAAGAAATATGCTTGCTTCTTTGATCTCCTATTATGAATCTAGTCTCTAGCATATCTTCTAATCCATAGATTTTTTTCTTTGATTCTTTTTTACTTTTGTTTGTCTATTCTTGTAATCTTGATCTTGATCTACTTTTTTGGATGTGTATGATGTGTTCTTACCCTCTATTTCTCGCTTATCTTTTCTTCTTCATTTGCGACTTTAGTGTTTATGTTGTGTCTTTAAACAATAAAGTATATATTTTGTTTTGATCCGATCTGAACAAAATACTTTGTATTTTTTTGTCTACCAATTTTTTTCTCAATTATTCTTGACTTTTCTCTATATCTCAATTTTGCCTGCTCAATTTTTGTTTATTCCCGGTTCTTGAATTTGTCGAAGTGAACGAAATTCAAGGAGCCTGGAATAGAAAAAACATGAACGTTCTCTAACATATCAACTTTTCTTAAATATTTCTTCTCTCTATTTTTCAATTTTTCCGTTTCAATTTTTGTCTATTCTTGGCTCTTGATGAATTTTCATTTATTTCTTCTGGATAGAGAAAATTTAAGGGATTGAAATAGAAACAAATTACTTTGTGTTTATTTGTCTACCAACTTTTCTCACTTCCTCTTGGATTTCGTCGCTCTATTTCTCAATTTTTCTAGCTATTTTTTTGTCTATTCTCGGCTCTTGAATTAGTCGAAATATAGAAAAAAAATATGAATGTCCTGGATAATGGGTACCAATTTTTTCTTGAATTTGGTCTCTTTATTTCTCAATTTTTCCATTTCAATTTTTGTCTATTCCTGACTCTTGAATTTTCATTTTCTCCTAACAGGAGCGGATACAGGCCTTTTGAAAGGGGGCGGGCAGTTCAAGCTTCATGTTAAAGTAAGCCAGATTGGGTTAGTTTTGGCAGCTCATTGTGCAAGATACGGTTTTTCGAAGGAACGGCCCATAAAAATATGGGAATGGGGAAGCTATTTAGAAGAATAAGGTGATTTCAAATAGATAAGTAGGTACAGGGTGTTTTTTTATATATTGACAACCTACCTACAGCCTTTACCTTTACAGGTAGATGAAAGGTGTATATACAAACGCTGTACAGTATTGGCTGAATTTTTAGAAACCCATGGTCAAAAACAAAATTTGAAAGTCAGATATGTGAAATTTTGCATGCTTCCAGCTTTTTTCAAATAAGGTGCCCTATATTTCATTCTATATTCTTGAAGAGCACAATGTCCCGATTCCAAAAATATATATGTTTGTCTTTATTTGATTGAACAGTCTCTCATATATTCGGCTTCAAAAATTGTAAAAATACTATCCTACTACTGATTTTGTGAACCATTTTACCTATACCAGGTGAAAGCTGCAAGTAAAATTTGAGGTACCAATGGAGACTGCACAACCAAATATAGACAAACTATATAGTTTTGGAATCGGGAAATTGTGCTCTTCAAGAATATAGAACCAAAAAATATAGGGCATACTATTTGAAAAAATCTATGAAAGCATGCAACATTTCACATTTCTAACATTCAATTTTTGTTTTTGACCATTGGATTCTAAAAATTTAGCCAATACTGTACAACTTTTGTATTTACACCTTTCATCTATTTGTAAAGGTGAAGGCTGTAGGTGGGGTGTCAATATATAGAAAAACACCCTGTACTTGAACAATAATTTATTAACTTATTATATAAAGTCAGAATTTGTAAGATTAGATTATCCACTTTTTTCAATTTGCCCCTCAACAGAAATTAGTAATGTTACTTTACAAAACTAGTTACATAATGTGACAAAGTTATTCAAGTACAAACGAGTGGATTGTTGCGGAATTTAGGGTGGACTTCTGCGGGACGAGCACAGCGAATTCCGCAGTCATCTATTCATTAATACGTTGTTCAAGTACGATACTAACCTGACTCACTCAAATATCAGTTATTCTCATTAATTCAAAAACTACAAGTTTCAGGTGAGTGTCTTATTTGAATAGTTCAACAGTATATTGGTGAGTAGATAGCTGCGGAACTTGCTGCGCTCGTCCCACAGAGGTCCACCCATAGGTTCCGCAATAATCCACTTATTTTTACTTGAACTACTTATAAGTCAAAATTTGTAAGATTATGATTATTCACTTTTTGTCAATTTGCCTTTCAACGGGAATTAGTAATGTTACTTTACCAAACTAGTAACATAATGTGACAAGTTATTCAAATACAATAAGTGAATTGTTACGGAACTTATGGGTGGACCTCTGCGGGACGAGCGCAGCGAGTTCCGCAGCCATCTATTCATCAAATATGTTGTTTAATTACGATACTAAACTGACTCACTCAAATGTGCGTTATTCTCATTAGTTTAAAAAGTACACGTTTCAGGTGAGTATCTTATTTGAACAGTTCAACAGTATGTAGCAAAACGCCCCAAGTACTCTATGGCCACGTTCACCAGATACAATTAAACGTTGGTAAACGGTTTGCGATTGTTCTGCTGAATGCTACGTTGAATTTGTGCTAAAACCAAACGGTCGCCATTTTTGCAAGCATAATTTCAGATTGTTTATAATTTTCAACACTGTGTTTTGTGTGGTGACCTGTCATTCAGAAGGTGGCGACGTTCTATCATTGAAAAGTTGAATCGTTCAGCAGATCCAAGAGTTTACTCAACATATTCTGTTGGTATTTGTAAACTGTTCACAATCCGTTTTGGTTCTGGTGAACGTAGCCTATGTAATTGGTTAGATGGTAAATGGCGAGCGGTATATTGATGGTGTTTATTTCTTTGGAGCTGCTAACTATATAAAATTGTGGAGGGGTCTTTTCGCAAATGAGAGAAACAAACTATTGAGGTTTACTAAATTATATTTTATTATACATAAAAGCAAAAATTTAAATAAGCAAAATATCTTTCAATTCTGACAGCCTCTTCTATTTTTCTCAATTCAAATTATTTCACATCCGTTCAAATGTCATTATTACGGACCTGGGCTGGGATCACAACAAGTAGAATTCCACTAGAATTCTACTTTCATGACGTCAGGTTGCTTAGCAACAGTTATCATCGCCTATACTGTACGCTATAAAAAGGTGGCGGGTGACGTCATGGAAGTAGCATTCTACTTTTCGTGATCCCAGCCCAGGAAATATCCATAAAAGAAAAACGCCCTACTCCTAATATTCTCAATAACTTATACGTTTATACATTTCAACACTTCCGATTCATTCCTATTAAACTACCCTTTACCTATTAATTATATCGACAGCAATTTTATTTCATGAAGAACAACAAGACTTCCATTTTATTTAATGGTTTATTAAATCAGAACAATTTCTATTTCCGGATTCCTAGCCAATAAACACAAATGTAAATTAATAATTCCTACTCAAAATCGATACTTGTTAAGTGCATTATAAATTCCCTTCATATTTTCTTTGTAAAATTAAATTAAAATGTCATTATACTCGAAGGCAATTAAAGTTATGCAATAATGACCATAGTCAAAACACTCGAATTATTAATATTTATGCAATAAAGTTTCAAAGTTTATTCACTTCATAGTCATTCATCATTTATAAAGTCAAAAGTTTTACTAGTCAAAATCACTCAAGTTTTTAGGCATTAAAAGTCATTGTCAATTAACTTCTTATCATTCAGAATAGCCCGGAAAACACTTTTTTACTAGATTCAGAATCATTGTTAAAAGTCAGAAAAACATTAAATAATCACTAAAGTACTTGAATTTAAATTGTCACTCGATTAAAAACTTAATTAATTACTCAAAAATTTCTAGAGCTCGCACATAATATTGAACGCCTTTAAATGTTCTTTCACAATTTTCCATACTTTTTCTAAGTTAAATTAAACCCGAGGCAAAAATAAAAGAAACTCCTTGCGAATTTTTATTCGGACTGACACATTAGGTACTGTAGACTTTAACTCAAACTGGACTGAACTCAGACTAACTGAACTGCGAATTCAACTGACAACTGATTTCCACTTCTAAGGGCGGGTATTATAAAATTACTTTGAGAGTTAACTTAAAGTTAACTTCTGGAATTACATGTAATTCAACAAGTTAACTGTCAAAGCAGTTTTATAATACCCGCCCTAAAACCGCCTGTTTTATATTTTTCGATTCCCCCCAAAGTATTATTAATTATCCACCAAAATCGTCAATAGGCGGTCGTTTGACTATCAATAAGTCAATTCTATTGGCCGACCTAGATATTATCAAAAATAATGATGCAATCTATTTGAAATTTTTGTCATTTTTATTTGTTTAAAATCGAATAATTATGTCGCAATATCCTGATTTATAGGGGTCGGGTCAAAACATCTTTGGTTCAAGAATGTGAGGACAACACAAAGAAAACCGGCACACATGAGTTATTAATCATCGATTTAATTACTCTGGCCTCGTTTTCAATAAGTTCATTGATTTGATTTAGGAGATGACATCACGCTTGGTGACTAAATAATAGAATTTTTTAACGTATATAAATATTTTAATTTAATTTGGGGTCAACGCTAATTTGTTTCATTTTCAATTTATCGATACTGATTTGAAATACCGGAAATTCAGTTTTTGATTATTTGATTACATTTAATTTTTACAGTGAAGACATTGTTAATATCGGGACTATTTTTCCGGATCACAAGTATATTGATGAGTAGATAGCTGCGGAACTTGCCATACAATGCAGCACCAGCAGCCTCTGTTGGTTAATTCGGTTTCCGGTGGCCACAGGCCATCATGCATCATGAGGCGTACGTTCGCCAATTATTCTCGAGTCGGCATGACCGGCGAGCAACGTCACTACTATAATTAGCAGCTTATAGTGATGACGTCACCCGCAGGCCTCG